CCAGTACACACAACCTGTGAGCAGGGGGGGCTCACAGGGGGACTACCAGCTTGTGTCAAACCAAAAGAGGGGAGTGACTGGGTGGCAGCAAAGGGCAGGAGTTGGCGGTGTAGGTCGGAGATGGCGGTACAGAGTGTAACCAAGAGTTTCTCAACATGACTGGTAAATTCTTGGAAGAGGGACATGATCTGTGTCATGTCACTGGAGACGGGTTGTGGGGGGGCACTGGTGGCGGCACAAGGCTTGACAGCGTCAGGGTAGAGACGGGGTTGTGGGGGTGCACTGGTGGCGGCACAAGGCTTGACAGCGTCAGGGTAGAGACGGGGTTGTGGGGGGGCACTGGTGGCGGCACAAGGCTTGACAGCGTCAGGGAAGAGACGGGGTTGTGGGGGGGCACTGGTGGCGGCACAAGGCTTGACTGCGTCAGAGTAGTGACGGGGTTGTGGGGGGGAACTGGTGGGAACACGAGGCTTGATAGCGTCAGAGTAGAGACGGGGAGGAGGGTCAGTAGTGGTTGAGTTAGGGAATGGTAGGTGCTGTTGTGGTGCAGCCTGGTGAAGCCAGGCAGGGGCAGGTGACCCAGTAGACTGAGGGGGGCGTTGTGGTAGACGCAGTCCTTGGGGAGGCCTCTCCCCTGGGACAGAAGGGCGACTGGGGCACTGCCGTGAGTCAGCATTGTGCCGGCCGCCACAATTACAGCACCTGGGCTCAACTACATAGCCCACACCACCCCTATTAAGGTGGTCTTTGATTTTCTGGGCACAGGCGGCGGAGTTGTGGTTACGTGAGCAGAAGCGACATCTAGGACGATCACGTCGGCAGCAGGCAGTGAAGGTGTGACCCCAATGAGAGCAGATAACACAAAATGCAGGCCCAGGATGATAGGGCTCTGCATAAAGTGGTGGAGGAATGGATGGGCTTCCACAGTGGTTGGACATACCCTTCCCTTCCACTTGACAATAACAGCAGCTTGTGGAGTGTGTTCCCGGTAATGTCGACGTATACTGAGTATATTAGAATTAAAGTCACGTGCATCTTCGATGTCAGCGTATAGGGGGAATCGTTTCACTAGGATGTGGCAACATTCATCAGCGTCTGCTGGAGGGGCCACTAGGACAACCCCGTCAAAGCCAACAGTACTAAGGGTTTTATAGACTTCAGGAGTCTGACACTTGATAAAGTTCCGGTTCTTACCCTGTCGGAATTGAATGTTGGGACCATGCTGTCTGCAGTACTTCATCATCCAATTAAACCGATCCTCGACAGATTTTAATGAGTCCTTGGGAAAGTGGAGATTCAGCTTACTTGTTTGTTTGGCAGAGGGCAGGGTGATAGGGTCCATGGCATTGCTGTTTCCACTGTGGCTAGTGTTTCCCATAGAAACATTACCGTCACTGTCATAATCACTGGGGTCTGACTCTTGAAGGGTGTTGGATTCAGTCAAGACCTGCTGTGTTTTATTCCCAGTTGAATTCTTTCTTCTTCCCTCTGTGTGTGTCGTCCTTTTCTTCCTATCATTCATGATCTCATCACTGTCACTTCTTTCACTTTTCTTCGCCTCCTCTCGCCTCCTCTTCTTTTCTTTCTTACTAATCACTTCTTGAAAATTGTCTATCACTGCTATTGTTGTTGGCCGCGGATTGTCTGCTTCTGATTCACTACTTGAAAGCCTCAGGTCGTCTTCTAAGTTGTTCAGTAGGGCAATCTTTTCTACTTTAGCCAAAGCCTTCATAGGTTTCTGCCCACCACTCTCCCCAGGCATTGTGCAATGCTTGTGTTCGGTCACAGGCGAGATGGAGAGGCAACGACGTCACTACCACGTCATTCAACGTCACGCTCTTCGCACTGCGCATGCGCAGATACGAAAATAACCGACCAGATGGTCCAGGCAGGAAGTCCAGATATTTTATCTAAAATATTGTCTAAGTCCAACAACTATTAATTTCACAAGCGACACTGTGCTTACAACTGGTCTCCACTTTAGTTCTCTAAACAGACTGAAGGTAGTCGTCTCACTGAATTCATCAGAATTGGGAATTGTAGGGAGAGCTCACTCACAGCCTTTGTTGACGTTTCACGGTGCGCATGTCGAAATGTGCTCCCACCATGTGAACACACTTATAAATTGCGGATATAACCACTGCCGCTAGTGCTAGCCGAAAGCGAAAGTTACCGGTAAAAGTGCCCGTGTGACGCCGCCTTTAATGAAGAGATACATAGGCGACATTACACTTAAAGTATATGTGATAACTCATTATGATTATAGGTTATACAGTAGCTACAGCAGACACGTGGCCACTAGTGAAGGAAGACGTCTCTGAACCCTAGCAACAATGGTTGAACTTAGGACTGGTTTTTATACATAAAATATGTTGGTACATCCAATTCAGTTTTTCGGATAAATAAATACCGTTATTGATTTTATAAGGGAAAACATGACAAGGAATGGGGAAACTGAGTTGGTATGATTTTGTAAGTTTTGTTATTAACGAGGCAAGAATATTCTGCACAGAAGATTACATCCCACTTGGACGATCGTCTGTCTTATGTGATTTAACGAAACGTAACGTAACGTAACCTAATCAAACCTAACCTGATCATTTAACTAAAATGGTAACAATCGCATAAAATAGACCATCGTCCAAGTGGTATGACATCTTACAGACGGTGTCTCCACCAACACGTCCTACTTTTTTTCTCAACCTAAACAAGTTTTTCGATATCTAATACTGTTCCTATCGATGAAGACTGAATGAGATTATTCCCCAGACGGTCAACTCAATATTTTTAGAGCAACATTTTTTTCCCAATATAATGAAAGCGAACAAGTTCCCTAACAACTTCGAGTTTTCATAAATAAAACTAAATATGAACATCCATGTAACTTAGGGAAGCTCGGGGTAAAACTTGATTGGTTACGGTACCATGTTGTCAGGCTTATAGGAATTTTTTATTATATTAAACGCGTTAAATCTCTTTCTCTATTAATAGTTGGTTCTGTTATATATATATATATATATATATATATATATATATATATATATATATATATATATATATATATATATATATATATCATGTAGATTCACAATGAATATGGAAGATAAATCTTGATAAAATCACACGGGAAAAACGGAGCACCTTAGCTTTCTTTATTCAAGACGAAAGTTAATGTGCTCTGTTGTTTCTTTTCCAGTGTGATTTATCAAGATATATATATATATATATATATATATATATATATATATATATATATATATATATATATAAAGACAAGCTAAGGTACTCCGTTGTTTCCATTTTCCGTGTGATTTTATCAAGATTTATCTTATCCACGTTTTCATTGTGGATTTACATGATATATATATATATATATATATATATATATATATATATATATATATATATATATATATATATATATATAGAAAGAGAGGGAGAGGGAGGGGGGTAAAACCTATGTAATTTGTAATTTGTTAGTAATGGCCAGAGGAGAAAGTGTTGAACCTGACGAACCTTCCCGCTCACCTTTCACTTAGGAGAGGACGGGTACACAGTCATACACGGGGACATTTTCATTTTCTATTATTAAAGAATTTAAACAATCTTCAGTACCACCTTTCCATACACAAAGCAAAGAAAGATAGTTTTAGTGACAGGTTTCCAACAGTTAATTTGATAGGATTGGCTATTCAGCATTAACCCTGCTATTTAATGTACTGTACCATCACTAAGCACATCGTCTTACGTAACCAACATTTAAATATTATTCTCGTCACAGACTCGTGGGACACAAGCTCAGGCTTGTAAAGTCTCCCAACTACTGAAAACATTTTGTTGCTAGTAACTTGATCCTCAATTAATTTGTTCCTTGTAATACATCTTTATTTGCGAATTAACATATGAAATCTTTCGAACAAGTGTTGATGTCTAGTTTATAGAATTTCGACACCAGCGAGTGTTGTACGAATCTTGCTTGAATAAAGATGCAGCTGTATTTTGAGCAATGCATACATATACACATACTTAAACAAGTAACTTCACACACAAACGAAAATATATTTTACAAAAAAAAACCAGTGCAATTATACCACGAGCTTGACCCGAATACCGCATATGGGATCAAGCACTACAGGGTAAGGCAACATGAATAAGCGTTGGCAACTACTGTAAGCTCGATGGTTCAGTCCAAACACCATGATACTGCACTTTATCATTATTTGTCATGATATAAAAACGACTCAGCCCCTTTCGGTAAAATACTATGACAAGAATCGTGGTTGGTGAGTTTGGTAGGAAGACAAGGCTACCGGATGTGCTCGGTTCAAATGACGGTGATAACTTTTCTCGTTTACCAAGTTCAGCTTCTTTTACTTTTCTCTCTCTTACAGGAACAGTTTAACTACATTCCGAATACGACGAAATATCATGATGCCGCTGTAGTCAATCTGTAGCTATAGTTACTTGATACTCGAGACATTTTATGATCCCAAACACTAGGTTATAACGATGCAACCTTCACAGCAAAATTCTTAGATTAACCATTACTCTGTAGCAATAGAAAAAAAAATATATTAGAAAGTTCGTGTGGGAGGGAGAGTGCATCGCTCTTTGGTGGACGAGGGTTTTAGGTCAATGACATAACACTGAAATATTACTTGATGCCGAGGCTGAAGTCTAATAATAAATACGATGATACAGAAACCAGGAATAACAGGCCAGGAAGTCTTATGCAATAATATTAATATGGTCTTATCAAATTGCTTACGTGACGCTTGTCAAACATGTAAAGAAACACTCAATTTACTGTATATACAAATTCAATTACAAACACACTATGATAGACCATTTTCAAACAAAATATTATAGTAATTACTTGCCAGAAACACACTTTCAACAAAGAATAAACTATTTATCTCACTCTAGAATAACACTATTGCAGGGATCTACAATATCAAAAATGTTCACTTGTTACTTGGTAACTGTAAAAGGTCACTTACCTCCAGAGTATTGTCTTATTGAAACTCCACGATAATGACAAAATGTTCATGTACTTGCTACCGTAACACACGAGAGAGAGATAAAAAACAGAGACAGAGATAAAAGGCAAGTTGTGGAAAATACGAGGTAGGTTACACGCCTAACAGGGTACACTGGCGTTAGTAAACGCCAACTGTTTTGTGTTAGTGTGTGTGTGAGTAGCATCCACGTCCTGGTGAGATGCCACTTCGTCAATATACTGTTTTCTCATTAGTTGTTTATAATAAACAATTCATCTACTTCTAAATGAAGATTGTTTAAGAAATATTTTTTTAGCGATGTTAACTGTATTTACAAATATTCGATGAAAAGTTTGTAACGGTGATGAAAAAAGAAAATAGTCTACACTCACGGCCAACTCACTACATGGCAACTCAACAACACCCCGGTGCCATATTAAATACTGTAGCTAAATTCGTCTTCTGAAGCAAGGTGGATAGCTCACCTGCTGTCAACCTCCTCCAATATCCCACTTCTGAACTTGACCTTGTACTGTACCCTTCTTGCACCCTCAGAGCTAATGCTCTCTTCTCTCCATATCACCAGCCAACCCTCCTGAAGCTCATATTTGGCGTTGTGTTAACGGGTGTCGGTATCTGCATGGTATTACATTACGGATTGACAAATTAGGGACCCCCTAATAAAAAAAATCCTTTTAACGGCTGTCTTGGTTTAATGAACTTATAGTTTACCCTTGTTTGTATACATGTAAAATCTGATCCAGTGAGAACCTGTATGACGATTTTAATGAATGAATAGTTATCTAACATCAAGGGTAACGAAAGTTTTTAATCATGCGAAAAGAGTTTTCCTCATTTGATTGTTGATGTTTATTTGTCGTCAGAGAAGTGCGTGTGTGTGTGTGTGTGTGTGTGTGTGTTTGGTACCCCGGTTAAATAATTACTGATGTTCCCTTTACAGCGCCAAGTGACATACACTTTGGGTTTTCAAACTTGCAGTACACTACGGCAACAGAGAAAGAATAATTATTTTATTTTCATTGTGTAGTAAGAATGTAAATATTGTTATTTTTCAATACATAAGCTATCGTTTGGTTTTTAATTTTCAGAGCGCCTCGTCCATCTGTTGTTTTCCTCCCTTTGTCACCCAACACCTGTCAGCCACCTATCACTTGTCAGCCACCCATCACCTGTAAGCCACCCATCACCTGTCAGCCACCCATCACCTGTCAGCCACCCATCACTTGTCAGCCACCCATTAACATGTCAGCCACCCATCACCTGTCAGCCACCCATCACCTGTCAGCCACCCATCAATATGTCAGCCAACCATCACCTGTCAGCCACTCATCACCTGTCAGTCACTCATCACCTGTCAGCCACCCATCACCTTTCAGCCACCAATCACCCGTCAGCCACCCATCAACCTGACAACCACCCATCAACCTGTCAGCCACCAATCAACCTGTCAGCCACCCATCAACCTGTCAGCCACTAATTACTTGTCAGCCAGCCATCACCTTGTCAGCCATCAATCACCTGTCAGCCACCCATCACCTATCAGCCACTCGTCACCTGTCAGCCACCCACCGCCTGTCAGCCACCAATCACCTGTCAGCCACCCATCACCTATCAGCCACTAATCACCTGTCAGCCACCTATCATCTGTCAGACACCCATTCACATATCAGCCACCCATCACCTATCAGCCACCCATCATCTGTCAGCCACCTTTCCACCTGTCAGCCACCCATCATCTGTCAGCCACCTTTCCACCTGTCAGTCACCCATCACCTATCAGCCACTAATCACCTGTCACCCACGCATCACATATCAGCCACCCATCACCTGTCAGCCAACCATCATCTGTCACGAACCGGTTGGTTAATTCCCAATTAACCAGGTTGGTTCACATATATTATATTGGGCTTTAGTAACGAAACCCAATTGAAGTTTCTTGTTTTTATTAGAAAAGTATTATGTTTATATAATTCCTGAGTGTAGATCAACTGTAAGTTCCACTATTTATGAGTGTGATGAGAAAGGGATGGCGTTTATGTATATAAACGTGAATCAACGTCCGTTCGATATTAGTTGGTGTGAGTGACTGCCTGAAGGCGTCGCCTTGGTGCACGCTTACATAGATGCTGACATATGGGCTTCTCCCTCTTGGGAAAGCTACCGTTCGCGTGTTCAGTTCATGTCCTCACAAATAGTGGAAAATTACAGGGGATGAATCTGAATATAAATCAGATGTAAATAACCCATTTATATAATACTTCTATTGATGAGACAGGGGCCATTACATTACTCGGTCGCCACAGGCCAAACTCAGTGAGGCCTAAATATGCTCACAGAGTACAGTACATCCTATACAACCCTAACCATGTTATAAACAAAGGTGTAGACACTAAGCTGGGGATTCAACGACTGTAGGGGTCTTATCTACTACAGGGGCCCTATACTTTAGTGTCTTACTGGTTAAAATGTTATGTACAACTTTCATTTTGGATGACACTGACTTATAATAACAAAACAGAAACATGATTGCCAAAATTAACATACTAGTGGGAATTGTGAGACCAGGTATAGCAAATTCCCGTGATAAATAAAATGGCAAATTATTATTCAAATCAGCAAATTTTGTCTCCTTCAAGAATGCAATGACCTTTAATTTCTCTGAAACAATCTGAATATCCTTTACAGTGAAATTCATGACAGGAAGTGGAATTAAAGCAGACTTGAGTTGTAAATTTAAGGCAAAGTGCTGATGAGTAGGCAAGGTCCGTAATGAACCACAAGTGATATCACAATAATCCGGAGCCTTGTAATGACCTTTTACAACTAGTTGCTTAACACCATCATGGTATTTTAAAATAACACATTGTGGAGATGAGAGTGAAACACAGTTTTGACACTAACTGGCATATAGCTGCATTGCGCAAGTGCTGTGCACACATCTGTTTGTATGACTGCCAATTCGCATAGTCCCTCTGCAACAGGAATAAACGCGAACATATAGGCTGGACATACGTGTAGGTGTAGATATGACGACTTACACCGTGACAGTACCTCAGGAACCTCTAATGCCAATAAAGAATAACCTTCATCTATAAGGGAAAAGTTCTTGAGGCCTATCTAGAGTATACAGTGTGTCGTTAACAAACTAGGGGAAGGGTTCTAAATGCCATGCTTTAAACTGATGTTGCCCTCGCATAGGGATGTGGATGAGAATAGCACTGTGCGTGAGAGTCGACTCCAACAGTATAAGGGCCTGTGCCTCTTATAACATTCTTCTTTACCTTAATACTTACAACCATTGGTAGCGTGACGAGAGGAGGCTCGTGGGTATATATAATGATAGTATCAAGTAATAGGGAAGAAATAACGGTAGATACTGTAGGTAAATAACAGACACAATATACAAATACAATATTTATTTAAACATTAAAATGGAGGAAGGGGAAAGTTATATGCACCAACAGACGAACTCCTGATACTATGCTCTCAGGCTCAACATACTCACACCACTACTGGGTGGACATACTCAATAACACTCACACCACTACTGGGTGGACATACTCAATAACACATAAACTCTTATAGTAACTTAGCACCATTAAGACCAGGGGCAACTGCCACTACAACACTCAGTCGTCAGGAGTGATACTCAAGCTTCCGCCATGGTGTTCTGCCACCATGGGGTACTTTCCAATGAACTCTGAAGATCCCAGTGGAATAACACCACCACACAAATAGCCCTACTGAGTTAGACACTCATCCACCAATGATGGGGCTGGTAGTTGTGTGTGGCTTGGTGATCCGGGGTCACCTCGCGGGCCGAGCGTTAGGGTTAGACGGGCCAGCTATGGGGGCCATAGGTAGTACTGAAGTGTCTGACGGTCGGGTCTCACGAAGATAACTGATCCTACTGGACCTCGGACATCTCTCCAGACATAGTGGAGACAACATCCACGCTACAGACACGGCCTAGGCTGCGTTAGGGACCTGTATGGGTGAAGGGGCGAGCACTTACTAACGGTGACAACGACATCACGTTTTAGGGGACGTTAAAGACGTAAAAATTACTTCACTCAAAGCATATCAACTACGTTACTGTAACACTTGCACAATCAACTATTAATTGGGTCAAATCACTTAAAGAAGGGCGAATTACAACACAGAGTGGAATGACCTAACTGTATGGGTGAAGGGGCGAGCATTTACTAAGGGTTGAAATGCCCGCGGCACCCTCACTCAAAATAGGTCAGGGAGTCCACCTACTTCTATTTCGATGAATTACTTTACTGTACACTCTGACGTTGAAACTGAGACTATGAACTCAGTTTCATTCCCTACTATTATCTTCACTAACAATGCTCTGACTAAGCTATCAAAAGCAAAATTTAATTGATTACAAAGGGTTGGATGGCAACAGGTCCCAACATACAGCGTCTTGCTACGAAATCCTCGGATTATATTCAAAGTTCCCTTCAGACAAAGACCGTCCTCTCGATGACGTCATCAAGGAAACAGAGAAAACTGAGGACGTTTCCACTGGGGCGACTCAGAAGGTTTTGTGGACGTTAGAGCGCAATATGAATCCTTAAGGTTTTTAGGTGAGCCGTCATCACGATCATGACAACAGAGAGTAATAATATTCTACCTCATTGTCATTAAAAATAGGAGTTAAGTGATACTGCAACTTGGCAATCTGTAAAGCATCAAGAAACGTCTGCACAGGCACAAGCTTTGCGTCCACACGCCCTATCCCTGCATCTACTATGCTGTCAATTAGTTCGGTATTACAGGTAACAACCTTCTGAACTGAAATTTCCACAGCATGCAAATATTCTGTGAAATAAAGGAGCCACTCTAACGTCGGGATTGATTTCTGTAACTTATTAACAACCCTCAATACATGATTAGACTCCGATATTATCGCATTAACTTTTGACTCTAAAGCAGTAATCGCATGAAATGTTTGAGAGATTACGCGATTCTGCTGAGATACAGCTTGATCGCCAATGTTCATTCGGTCCCCCAATTTAACTACATCTTCGGCCGTTGCCGTGCCAAATAGAGTGCTTTGGATAAGACCCACAAAATTAAATAAACCCCTTTTTCGTCGTGTCTGAGAACGCACTTCTTTTGCAGGATCAA